ATGGCTCGAACGATGATGCATGCACGTGAAGTTTTTCCTGAGTCTCTGTGGGCTGAGTTGGTATATACTGCTGTATATATTCTTAACAGAACAGGACCAACCACAGTGGAAAACAAATCTCCGTTTGAGATATGGTTAGGGAAGAAACCTCGAATAACGCACTTGAGGATAATAGGATCAGTGTGTTACGTGCATGTTCCTAAAGTAAGTAGGAAGAAATTACATAAGAAAGCCAAAAAGTGCCTGCTAGTAGGTTACGATAACGACGATGGATACAGACTATGGCACAGAGAAACTAACTCTATAGTAAGGTCGAGAGATGTGACGTTTGATGAAAAGTCTATTTTGTCAAAACTTGAGGACGTTCAAGATCAGTCGTTAATGACGGAAACAGAGATTCAACTACGAACGAAGTCTGAAATCAGAGAAGAAGATTCCATTATGAATGATCCAGGTATGGTTGATATGGAACCTGAACTTGACAGCAATGAACGTGAGTTTGATAACGCATTCTCTCATAAGGACATAACTATTAAATCTAGGGGGGAGATTGAAGATGTCGAAGAAGTTATTGTTGAGAACGAAACAGAAGTTACTGTTGAGAACGAAACAGAAGTTACTGTTGAGAACGAAACAGAAGTTACTGTTGAGAATGAAACTGATGTTGATCTTGAATATGAAGACACTATGGAAGAATTGGTGAATGAACAATCTGATAGGGTGTTAAGAGATCGTTCAAGGCTTCGACAACCTGCTAGATTCAAAGATTTTGTCATGAATACCGAAGAACACTTTGAGCCAACTAGTTATAAAGAAGCAATAGTCTGCCCTGATAAAAAAAAATGGAAGGATGCAATGGATAGTGAAATTGATTCACTGAGAGAAAACTGTACATGGAGTCTGGAGAAGTTACCGAAAAACAGAAAGGCGATTCCATGTAAGTGGGTTTTTAAGATAAAACTGAACGCTGATGGATCCATAGATAAATACAAGGCTAGATTGGTTGCTAAAGGGTTTCGTCAAAAGAAAGGAGTAGATTACAACCAAACCTTTAGCCCTGTTGCAAAAATGGCGACGGTTCGTTCAGTTCTCAGTATTGCAGCAAACGAAGGGATGAAAATGCGTCAATTCGACGTTTCCACAGCTTTTCTGTACGGTTGTTTGTCACATGAGACAATATACATGAAACAGCCTGAAGGGTATGAAGATGGTTCGGGTAGAGTTTGTTTATTAAAAAAAAGTCTTTATGGGTTAAAACAAGCTCCCAGATGCTGGAATACCACAATACTGACTTTCTTCAAAGATACTGGGTTCCAAGTCAGTGAAGCAGATCCATGTCTGTTTAAAAAACAAAATGGCGAAGAGAAATTGATAGTCGCATTGTACGTAGACGACGGACTGGTGGCTGCTACCAGTCAAGCATTGATTGATAGTTTTCTGGAGCAACTGAAACAGAAATTTAAAATAACTATGAGATCAGTCGGTTATTTTCTCGGAATTGAGATAGTGAGTAGAGAAGATGGTTTATTGATTCATCAGACATCTTACACCCAGAAAATCTTACATAGATTTGGAATGCAAGAATGTAGGCCAGTGACGACTCCAATGATAAAAGAAGATACTCCACAAAGAGCTGAAAAATAGATGAATATTTTCTTAAATGCTATAGACAAATAGTTGGGGCTCTGGCTTACTTAATGGTCGGAAGCAGACCTGACATTGCTTTTGCAGTGAGTGTAGTTTCCAGAAATTTGGAGAAACCAACACAAGCTGCTGTAGTCAAACTGAAGAGAATTCTACGATACCTACAATATACCTTGAGTCTAGGTATCCTGTATAAAAAGGATTACAAGAAAGGCATAATTGAATGTTATAGTGATGCAGACCATGGTGGTGATACAACCACAGGAAGGTCCACGACAGGTGTGTTGTGTTTATATGCTGGTGGTCCAGTCTCTTGGCTAAGTCAAAGACAAAGCAGTGTTGCCATTTCAACAACTGAGGCAGAGATTGTTGCAGCCAGTGAAGCTGCGAGGGAATGTATCTGGCTAACCAGACTAATAAGCGGCTTGGTAGAGCTAAAGGAAGTGCCTGTACTTCAAGTAGATAATGAAGCTGCTCTGAGATTGGCTGAAAATCCGGAATTTCATCGCAGAACAAAACATATACGCATTAGACACTTCTTTGTAAGAGAGCTAGTGTCGGAAGGGCACTTACTTGTCAACAAGGTGACTACAGAGCTACAATTAGCGGATATGCTTACAAAGCCACTACCTAGACCTCGGCTCAACAAGCACTGTGAAATCATAGGTTTACAACGAGAGAAGATAATAGAGTAAACTCCTTTGTTATATTGCGTTGTCAAAACCGATTGAGTAATGTTGTCAGAATAAAACAAAACTCTGTTATTATAAAAAATTGCTATTCTTTATGTGTGCCTAATATATATCGTTTTCTTTAAATTATCTTTAATTTACCTACTGCCCAGTTAGCTCCTGCTAGAAACGTACTGTGCTAAGTAGACTGACCAATGAGTTATTTTTTTTTATTAGCTCTATATTTTGAAGAGTACCATTAGTGCATACAGAAACTGAAGTCCATTTAGGTAGAAAAATTTTTAACCAATGATTAGAAGCAACTAAACTTACATTATTACTCACCACTTAAAATGAATTAACGAATATGATACACTAAACTAAAAGACAGCGTATTTAAGAATATGAAAAGAAGTGTAACTAAAGCACTTTCTCAATGTACTACTGTAAAATTGTGTCGTAATCAATTGTTTTCCACATTAAGTCCATGGAACGCAGATATTAAGTTCAAATTAATTCTTTCTCTGATATTAAGGTAGGATACTGTGCCTCCAACAAAGATTCACTGAAATTGTAATTATTGCACTAGCTTTTTGCACTTTCTAGGACAAAATAAAATACGTAAATGGGAAGAAGCAAACAAACTCAATGTTGAATACATAAATTCGAGCAAAAGCAATAACTGTCAAATCGTACGCACGCCGCTTGCAACGTGACCAAACGTGACCACAACGTGACTTAAGTTAAGGTTTGTGTACACCAACAACTTATTAGGCGGTAAAAACAAGCATATTATTAAAAGCATTAACATGGGAAAAATAATTTTATTACGATTACTTTAAAGGTATGATTAAGTCGTGAGGTATATATTTATTACTGTTTTCAAATAAAAAACTTTATTCATGTTCATTATTCACAGTATTAAAGCAAGTGTCCGTGATGCTAGCGTACCCATGATCAATATAAGGTTTTTCGTTATGCCATTAAATACTGCGTAAATAGTGCCAAATTAGTGTAAAAATAAAAAAAATAGTGCCTCTTTAATTTAAGAAATAAACACCATTTTTACTGTGTACGCTACCATGACGTCAAGCTAGCGTACCCATGGCCGACCCCAAGAATGGCATATATTTAAGCAACGAAATTGACACACAAAAATAGTTCGCAAATAGTGCCCTGGCTTTACAAAATTTCATAATCAATACTCTTAAAGGACCAAAGATATTGAACTAAACATTCTTAGCTGGCGTCAACCTGGCGTACCCATAATAGTTCTCATAGAAAATGAACTTATCTCGTTATCAATTCTATATGTATAAATAGTGTGTCAAATAGTGCCTCTAACAGTAAAAGTATTTTATGTGAATCCGCATCACAACAATACATAAAGAGGATGTTAAATTCTAGGAACAAATGTATTGTAGTACAGTTGCACACAAAATTAATTTATGCACTAAGAGATTATCTATATATGTATTTTTACTAAAATAAATAGGTACTTTTTATAAAAAGATATTTTATTTCAATTCGAATTCACCAATCATAAATTAATATAAGAATTTCAACCTACCTACTAAGTACCTTACTTACCTACTATACTGCGAAAATATTATCTCTTCTGTACATGACTGTACTTCATATATAAAAATAATTTAATTGCTTTTTTATATTGTTTTACTGCGAATTCACTTATAATAAATTTACTGTTAGAGGCACTATTTGACACACTATTTATACATATAGAATAGATAACGAGAAAAGTTAATTTTCTATGAGAACTATTATGGGTACGCCAGGTTGACGCCAGCTAAGAATGTTTAGTTCAATATCTTTGGTCCTTTAAGAGTATGGATTATGAAATTTTGTAAAGCCAGGGCACTATTTGCGAACTATTTTTGTGTGTCAATTTCGTTGCTTAAATATATGCCGTTCTTGGGGTCGGCCATGGGTACGCTAGCTTGACGTCATGGTAGCGTACACAGTAAAAACGGTCTTTATTTCTTAAATTAAAGAGGCACTATTTTTTTTATTTATACACTAATTTGGCACTATTTACGCAGTATTTAATGGCATAACGAAAAACCGTATATTGATCATGGGTACGCTAGCATCACGGACACTTAAAGCAATACTTGACTGTGACTGATATTCATAAGAATACAGCATATTTGCTATCTAAATAATAACGATAAAATAGTTCATTTTCGTTCCAATTAGTTTTTTTTTCGTATTTAATATTTACGATGCATCTTTTGGTAACAGAAAGATAGGTCCCGGCGTGATAGTATATTTGTTTATTGCTTTCCGACATCGCTTTCATTTCACGGTTGGTGCAAAGGAGAGCTTATTAAATTTTATTATAGGTATGATGGGCTACTAAATAAATATAAAAATCTATATGGCTATGTAACTATATCGACACATTGGAAATATTTTTATTTATCTATTGAACGTATTTTCTTTAGATTTAAATATGTAGCAGTGAAATGCTTAAAATATTTATGTAAATAGTAATAAATATTTCCAACACTCATACCAATTAGCCTAGACCCAAAGTAAGCACTGTAAGGCTTGTGTTACGGGATACTAGTGTAACAGATAATATACATAATATACTGTACATTTAAAGGTATATTTGTATAGAAATACATATGAAACATCCATGACTGGAGTACAAATGCTCGTATTCATCACACAAACATCTGCCCAAAACAATCACAAAACTAATTAAAAAACGGCTTGTGAAGATACCTTTACATTTAAACAAAACTTGTCCTACCATAGACAAAAGATGTTGTCTATAGTTGTGTAGTTCCGTCAAAGCTGAAATATTTATCTGGGAAGAACTATATTCATCTTTTAAACATGTTGTGTTGTAGAGATGTCCGTTTTTAGATATTTATATAATCGATGTGCATCGGTATGTAAGAAGATTAACAAAAGACGTGGCTTAAAAAAACCAGCATCTAAGCCATAAAATTATTAAAAAAAAAAAGATTAACAAAGGAGTGGGGAAAGGATACGAGTGCGAAGATGCTGACTGCCTGTAATGGATACTGTTGCAAAAATACATATTTTGTCGTAAATATTGTATTTTTAATAAAAAAATTGCATGTTGGGAGGTTATTTTCGTCAAAAACCTGTATTTTCAGGGGATTTCGGGTAAGTTTTGGGGGGGAAGGCGAAATGGCTTTCTGGTAACACTGAGTTTTGGGGCAATCCTAGGTGTTTATGTTGGCAACACTGAAAGTTTGTTCTTTCACTCTTTCAGTGATTTTATCCTTCTTCAATGTACGTAAATTGTGATCAAATTTATAAATCTTATAAAATCTTACTAAACATTGGTGTTTGGTGCTTTCTGCCCATGGATAGATAATAAATAAATGTTCTAGTTAGTATATATATCAATATTTCAGTCTTACCATAGGTATAAGTTAATTTACAGAGAGGGAAAGGAACCATGGGTCGTGTGATACGTGCTCAACGTAAGGGTGCCGGATCAGTCTTCGTCTCGCACACGAAGAAAAGGAAAGGAGCACCCAAACTCAGATCTCTGGATTATGCGGAACGTCATGGTTACATCAAGGGTGTGGTAAAAGTAAGTACATCAAATCTGAGTGCTTAACCTATCATGTTTGTTGTGATGAGGTTATAAATTTCATTAAAATACAATGGAGCCCCGGTAATCCGGCCCCTGGCTAATGCGGCGGCACCCGCTATAATCCGACATCGTCTATTACATACAAGTATTCGCTAATTCACGATTGAACAAGTTACAACTTGTACGCACCATCACTATTGTGCTCGACGCGTAGGGTATTGTATTTTTATATTTTTTTGTAAATTCTATAGCATTAATGACGTTACTTTTATAATAAACGTAATCTTTCTATTGTGTTGTTTAATTTACTAAATTTGACATACATAACAAAGTATGATTTATAATCTTATCATTGGATCTGTAATTTGTCAGATTACAAGGTACTCTTTTGTAAAAAACTTCGGACTATAGGGGGTCTTTGGCAGTACTCTGAAATCCGACAAATTCGATAGTTCGACACTGCCCTGCAAAATGTTTGTCGGACTACCGGGGATCCACTGTGTTATTATTTTTGATTTTTTCAAATTATTATGTTCGTATTCAGGATATCATTCATGATCCTGGTCGTGGCGCCCCTTTGGCGGTTGTTCATTTCCGCGATCCCTACAAGTTCAAGACTCGCAAGGAACTGTTCATTGCCCCAGAGGGTCTCTATACAGGCCAGTTCGTTTACTGTGGGAAGAAGGCAACTCTGGAAGTTGGTAAGCCTGTTTTATTATTTTTAGAGTATTTGTAGGGAGACTCGTTTACCTAGTTTTAGCATTTATAATTGTAATTTGTGGGAGTTACTAATAATAAAATATAATTATAATTAGTATTTACAGTACCTAAAGTGATATTTGTTGTATAGTGTAGTGCTTTGTGTTTTAATCAAACAAGTTATGATCTTTGTCTTCTAGGAAATGTCATGCCAGTAGGAACCATGCCTGAGGGTACCATTGTGTGCAACTTGGAGGAGAAAATGGGTGACAGAGGCCGGCTTGCTCGTGCTTCTGGAAATTTTGCTACAGTTATTGGCCACAATCCTGATGCCAAACGTACAAGAGTGAAACTGCCATCTGGAGCTAAGAAAGTGCTGCCTTCAAGCAATAGAGGAATGGTTGGTAAGTAATTATTTTACTAAGTAATTTCTTTGCAAAACTGTCAATAATGTTCATGATGACTTTCAACTTACCTACTCTGAAATATCTATGATTACACAGAGGCTCTTTCTGAGGCATATTATGATGTATAATACAGATTGGTACTTGTTTCAAAGATTCATTTTTATTGAATTGCCATTTTATTACATTACAGGTATTGTTGCTGGTGGTGGACGTATCGACAAACCTATCCTAAAGGCTGGTCGTGCATACCACAAGTATAAAGTTAAGCGAAACTGCTGGCCATATGTGCGTGGTGTGACCATGAACCCTGTTGAGCATCCTCATGGTGGTGGTAACCATCAACATATTGGTAAGTCTAACAATAATATTAACTATTAAAATTTCACTACAATGACACTTTGGCAACAAAAACCTGGAGAAGAACACCTAATGTTTTTTATTGTCAATGTTATTAACAATTTTGTATAACACAAGTCAAATTATTAATAAATATTTATTTTTTGGATACTTACAAAGTAGAAGCACAGAAGAAGAACATTGAAACTTGGCAACAATTATCATTGATCACTTAATCATGAAACTGAAAATCTGCTTTTAGGATTAATTTAATCCCAATTGTTGCATCACTAAAATATATATTGATAAAGTAATTACAAAAAATGCCTTTCAGTTAAGTTAATCTGGTATAACAGATTATACTTGAAACTTGTAGAAAGTAGTAATCAGGGTTATCAACTCAAATAATATACAGAGAGTGCCACGATCATGCAATACGGAAGGAATTATTAAATATTTAAGATAGGGTATTTTTAAAGAAAAGTTTACTAGAAAAAATTCAATGCGGACCAGGCAACAGACGGGACTGAAACCCGCACCCTTTGCTATCCGGGCGATTGCATTGACTATTATGCTACCGCGGCCCTGACGGTCGTGTCGAATTTTCTGTAGCCTTAGGCTGCAAGGCAGCGCCATCTCTCAAATGAATATCTTTACAGGTATTAAACATTTGATAGAAGAAAAAGCAAATATAGTTATGTTTTTATTTTTTAAGCATTTAACTGCTAGATGTTTAGATTTAAACAAAACGATAGGATATTTTACTGAAAGAAGACATTATTTTAATAATTATTAGAACTGCATTCACAGATTTTTTTAAATCTCTTGCCACAATCTGGAATCGAGCTCGTGAAATAAAAATACACATGTATTTTATGATAACTATGGAAAGGATTAATCACAAGGATTATTTTTCTTAAATAACATAGCATTTAAATGAAAGAAAACTCATGTTTTTTATTCATTACATTCATTCATTACAATCATTACAATAAAAAAGACAGTACATTTTTTTTTTATATATCAAATGTGTCTCACTCTTTTAATAATTTCTCTGCCTGTTGATTTACTTACTTTGTAGGGTGAGTGTTTGAAATAACATGTAAACATCTATGTTCATTTTGTAACTCCTGCATAATGTCATACCATAAACTAAATCTTTTACATAACTCCACAAAATAGCCAGTCGAATTGTCATTGTCACCTCACAAAGAAATGCATACAAGTAGTAAAAATAAGGAATTTTGTATTATTAAATAAGCAGGTACTAAAGGTAGACAACAGGTAGTAACCGGTGTGGGGCAGGACGAAGACGGGGACCATGAGTGGTGGCACATTCTTGTCAAAATTACAATCGCCCGCCGCCCGTACCTCTCACAGCCCTCGTTGTCGTCCTCCTCACACTCTGTACCCTGCAGGCGAAGTCTCAGTTAAAAGGTTTACCTATAGTTAGTAAATACTTTGAAATAATAATGTTAGCTATTGGAAGGGCAGAAAAGTTAGAAGAAATTTTTTTCTGAACGATATTTTAATTTTATATTACCCCATTCATTTAAAATGCTATGTTATTTAGGATGGTAATCATAAAATATATCAGGCAATATATATGGCAGGCAATTTAAAACAAAAGCTGGATGCAGTTCTACTTATTATTAAAAATGAAATGATGACTTCTTTCAGTAGAATATCCTGTCTTTAACATACTTTCCCTCTGTGAGCATAGCCGTGGGACAACCTGATTATATAAGAAGATGGGTATAGAATTAGTAGTAAACGCAAAAAGTCATTATTATTCTAAAAATCTAAAAGGAACTGTCTATTTCCCTTCTACTACTAAATCATTGAATTGATTTTGATCAACTTTATAATAGATATAGTGTAGACTAGCTGCCGTCCTCAAATTAAAATGCAGCTAAATGACAAAACCAACTTTAGAGAATGGCCAAAAAACTGTGTAAACATCAAATTATTGCTTTTTTTGTAACCATTCATCACATAACGGATTTTTAGACTTAAAATATAAAAGATACAAATAGTTACTTGTAAAAGACAGATCAATATAGAATTAAAAACTGTATAAGATGCAATTTAAGACTGAAAAATCAACACATGTTTTTCATGTCAACACAACTACACATCAACACTTTAGTTTGAGGACGGCAGTATGGAGAAGTCATAGGCTAGGTAGCCTTAAACAATAACAATACAATCTCAAAAGGGGTGAGAGAGTATAGGCAAAACTTTTACTCATATAGTAATGGACAGGGATACCATCTGCTATTATTTTACCTGGCCCTCAAAATACTAAAATATGTTAAATCAGAATATTATTACTTTAGTATTTAGCCATTAAGAATAACAATACATATCTCAAAAGGGGGGAAGGTAAAACCAATTGTTTTACTCAAATATTTATGGACAGGGACACCATCTGGTAATGTAAATTTACCTAGCCATCAAAATAGGTACTAAAAATATGGTGGTTTAATCATTTATTTTTTATTGCAATGCCTGACGGCTAGTATTGAATAGCTACTAGATTATTAGAATAATGGCACAAAAAAGGAGATTAGGGAAATTTACAAAATCAAAGTTTTTAAATAGGAAAAATATGGGCCTAGTATTAAATGTTGAATGAGTTTCATTTCAGTTTAGTGATATAACTTTTGATAAAATAATTAGTTCCCAAAGTTGTTTTTTAAAGGATATAAAAAACAATTTCCTAGAATAATTTATAAAGAAAATAATATAAGGATTGCAAAACAATTGTAAATGCAATGAAAATATCGCACCTCCGGTGCGACACTGTCACTTCTGCAAAAAAATCATTTTTCAGGAGAAGCATTTCAAACTTTAACATCCCAAAACATACAATATTTAAAGTTTTTTTTCGATGAATAGCTAAGCAGTTTAAGCAAAGTTTTAAACGCTCTTCCTGAAAAGAAATTGTTTTTGCATAAGTGACAGTGTCGCACCGGAGGTGTGATATGTAAAATAAAAGTTAGTTAGGTATTTGTTTGTCAAGTAAAAATTTAAATTAGTTTAATGCCAGGTGAAATACCCTGTTATTTATCATTGTGATAAATGTTTACAGGTAAGGCTTCCACTGTCAAGAGAGGTACATCTGCTGGTCGCAAGGTTGGTCTTATTGCTGCTCGCAGAACTGGAAGAATTCGTGGTGGCAAGACGGATACGAAGAAGGAGGCATAAACTTATTTCTATACAAAATTAAAACTTTAAAACCAGCATCTATTTTTATTTTTAAACTAGTGGCCCGCCCTCGCTTCGCTTCGGTGTAGCTGTAGTGTAGACTAAAATGCCTCTTAATTTAATTATGAAAAAAAACTGAAAATGGTATATTTGCCTTTTTTAAACTTCAATTGACATCACGACGATATTAAATACCCTAGATACACCAACACGAACAAAATCGTGCCCGACGGGCAGAGGCGGTCAGTTTAGGACGTTCGTTCTAGTGAATAGTCCATCACTAATACGCACTTTTTCACTAGAACGAACGTCCTGAACCGACTGCCTCTGCCCGTCGTGTGTTTTGTGTACGCGGCGAGGGCAGCCGCAGACATCGACGGGCAGACGCGGTCTTTATTGCTTCGCGGACAAAAAGCCCGCCTCGCCCCGTCGTCTGCAAAGCGCCTAAGATTCATTTTGTTCTATTATTCGCGGCGAAATTGACCGGCCCGCCCCGCCCCGTCGTCTGCAAAGTGCCTCAGCGATTCATTTTTATATTATACATGAGTGGCGTTTTTACAAAGTAACGGAAGTTGGCGACTTTACAATTACATGCCTTAATTCTTTGAAATCACTGTCCTATCAGCCGAGTCCAAATACCTTTGCTTCTATTTTGACAAAACGCTGAGCTCCCCAGCTCAAGGGCCATTCACCCTTAGATTAAAACAAAAAGGGTAGATACGGTACGCTCATACTTGCATCAAACAAAAACTGATCCCACGGCAGCGAGAACGGGACGGCGAGATCCACGTCACTGCATTACCGACCCGAACGAAACAGCACGTTAAGTTTCAACGGCAGCGCGAACGAGACGGCAGTTCCGCGTCACTGCACTACCGACCAATCACGCGACCAGTACTCGACGTCACTACCGAATAAGTTTCAAAACAAACAGCAATTTTTGTGAAAAAATATATTTTATAGTACTTACGAATGAAAAGTGATGCCGTGGGTTTTATTTTTAGTTCTTGAGCAATTTGAGCACTTTTTAAAAACACACTTAGGCATTGTTTTAACATATAAACAAAATATTAGCAATATTTCTTTTTGGCGTTCACATGTACGTCGGTTGCATGTCAAGTTGTGACTAAAGCGATTAGGGTCGTGGACCACAATTCATGCGGATCACTTTTGTGAGGCTAGTGCCGTATCTACCATTTTTGTTTTAATCTAAGCATTCACCTAACGGGATTGCTTTGGAAAACGCTTACGATTTTATTTTGTTATTTCTAACCGCCACAGGTTTTCAAATGCCTCGCGCTCTTTTTTTTTCTTTTGCATTGTAATAACAATATTAAAGTAATGAGCGTGAGATATTTGAAAACCTTCGGCAGTCAGAAATAACAAAATGAAATCGTGAGCGATAGCGTTTTCCAAAGCAATCTCGTTAGGCGAATGGCCCCCTGGCAAACACCGATTAAATGATAACAAATGCCAGCATGTGTCCGTGATGCTAGCGTACACACGATCAAAATATGATTTTTCGTTATGCCATTAAATACTGCGTAAAAAGTGCCATATTAGTGTAAAAATAAAAAAAAGTGCCTCTTTAAGAAATAAAGATCATTTTTACTGTGTACGCTAGCATGACGTCAAGCTAGCGCACCCATAGCCGTCCCCAAGAACGGCATATATTTAGCAACGAAATTAACACACAAAAATGATTCGCAAATAGTGCCCTGGCTTTACAAAATTTAAATTAAAGGACCAAAGATATTGAACTAAACATTCTTAGCTGGCGTATAATAGTTCTCATAAAAATGAACTTTTCTTTATCAATGCTATATGTATAAATAGTGCCATTAACAGTAAAAGAATTTTATGTGAATTCGCAGTATAACAATATAAAAAAGCAATTAAATTATTTTCAAATATGAAGTACAGTCATGTAGAGAAGTGATAATATTTTCGTAGTATAGTAGGTAAGTAAGGTACTTAGTAGGTAGGTTGAAATTCTTATATGAATTTATGATTGGTGAATTGAAATAAAATACCTTTTTATAAAAAGTACGTATTTATTTTAGTCAAAATATCATATATAGCGCTTATTGAGGTATAATGTACTTCGAACTCAGTACTTGCGCAGGCATAATATTTTAGACACATGCGGTGACGTTTATCCGTCATACAAAAAGTAAAAAAACGTAAGAAAATCACACTATCTCTTAGTGCATAAATTAATTTTGTGTGCAACTGTACTACAATAAATTTGTTCCTAGAATTTAACATCCTCCTTAAGTATTGTTGTGATGCGAATTCACATAAAATATTTTTACTGTTAGAGGCACTATTTATACATGAAGCATTGATAACTAGAAAAGTTCATTTTTTATAAGAACTATTATGGGTACGCCAGCTAAGAATGTTCAGTTCAATATCTTTGGTCCTTAAGGCACTTTGCAGACGACGACGGGGCGGGGCGGGCCGGTCAATTTCGCCGCAAATAATAGCACAAAGTGAATCCTATACTTCAAACGCACACAGAGGGCAAAAAGACCGCGCCGCAGGTGCCCGGCGAGCAGTGGCGGCGCGGCTGCCCGCCGTGGATCATACAAACCAGTTTTTAAGCAGTAACGCAGACGGCGGCGCGGGGCGGTCAGCTCAGTCCGCGCCACGCGCTTATTAGTGATGGACTATTCACTAGAACGAACGTCCTAAACTGACCGTCTCTGCCCATCATGTGCTTTGTGTACGCGGCGCGGGCAGCCGCAGACATCGACGGGCAGACGCGGTCTTTATTGCTTCGTGGACAAAATGCCCGCCCCGCCCCGTCGTCTGCTCAACGCCTTAAGAGTATTGATTATGAAATTTTGTAAAGTCAGGGCACTATTTGCGAACTATTTTGTGTGTCAATTTCGTTGCTTAAATATATACCGTTCTTGGGGACGGCTATGGGTACGCTAGCTTGACGTTATGTTAGCGTACACAGTAAAAATGGTCTTTATTTCTTAAATTAAAGAGGCACTACTTTTTTTATTTTTACACTAATTTGGCATTATTTACGCAGTATTTATTGGCATAACGAAAAACCGTATATGGATCGTGTGTACGCTGGCATCACGGACACGCCATCATGACTTTGTGAGCAGAAGGAATTGGAGAATAAACTCCAACTTAACTAAATCAACTACTCGCTATACATCACAGTCGTCCGACCAATTATCACATACCTACTGGTCTTTAGCTTGGTGGCCGAGGACTAGAGATGGGATTTTACCCGGAAAAAACCCCAATGTGGGAAAAAAACCAGGGAAAATTCCCAAATGGGAAAATATTCGGGTTTTTTCATATTTAGCATCGATTTCATATGTAGCATCGAGGTAATGTGGAGATACATGTATATTTCAAATGGTAAGTACTATTACTACTAGTTAGAGCTAATCTAACTTTTCTTATTTTCATAATTCAATAAAAACGTTATATATACTCCATGCTATCTAATTAAATAAAATGAAATAAAATTAAAAAAACTAAAAATTGACGACTGGGATTTTGTTTTGTAGACTTCTGAAGACGTCTTTTTGTTGATAAATTAAACTGCTGGTTTTATTTTAGTTCCTGAATCAGGCTACACATTTTGACGTTTCTAACAAAAGGCAACAGCTAGTGTCCTATAAATAGGGATGTCGAAAGTTGAAAAAAATATCGATATATCGGGCTAATTTTTCCAAAAATATATTTAGGTCAGCCTAGCATAGTAATAATAGTTCAATACAAATTATAATTAAAGAAAGAATTATCAAAGTACCAAATTGCCGCTACACTACATGACAGTACAGTATCTCACGAAATATGACACGCGGAATAATAATGGAACGAAAATTATCTCCCTAAAAATAGACCCTATTTTCGAATGATGAAAATGCCAATGCCAGGGCCTCTCAGGTGCCATCTTTCGTAAACAAGACTAGACAGTCACACACTTCCACAGAATATAATGGAAATCAGCACAACCAATTCACCAGCGAAACAGATTTACAAATAATAGACAATACTAAATACAGCACAGATCATAAATATGTTGAATATCATTAATCTGAGATCTAGTTACGATTTTTCCAGATACGAATTTAGTTAGATCGTGATATGCCGCTAATAATTAAAAAAATATCGTTTTTGATACGAATTTCGATATTGGTTATTTTGTATCGATATATCGAATCAAAATATATCGGCAAAAAATATCGATATATCGAACAAAAAATATCGAAATATCGATACATCGATATATTTTCAACAAGCCTACCTATAAACGCTGTCGCAAAGTATGTGCGCATCGCAAAATACCAGTGGCGTGGGGTGAAAAAAAAGAAAGGTAAAACCGGACCAAAAAAAACGACTAACGCGTGAATAAGCAAAATGTCATATCTTAACTTATAAAAAAACATGCAATAAATTACTTACCTTATAATAGTGTGTTAGTACACCTTTTCCAAAACTACAACGAAATGTTAGGTATGGTGCTTGCGTTGCGTTGTATGCAGTTTTTTCATGCGACAGAACATGCTTGCAGCAGGCCAATTATGCTCGCCAATTGTGATATTGTTTTGATGTCAATTTCACATTACGTATTATGCTCTCCGAAAAATACGATATCAAAATGACATCAACTTATGCGTATTATGATCAACTCTTTAAAATGATATCAACTTAAATGCGTATTACGTTCAACTTTTTGACTTAAAACAGTATCGCATAAACGTCAAAAAAGTGATACAGGATATGTTATGATATGATCTTGATGTGACATAGGAATTTTTCATAATACCATTTAAAAACAATGTCAACTTGGCATCAACATCATAATAGGATTATATCACTAAAGCATAATTGACCCGCTGTACAGTTGTTAGTGTTCACCACCTTCACCATACATGACATCACTGGTATTATATGAACAGTCCATGTCGATTAAGATAAAAGCGGCGTTCAAAAAACTGTATAAAGCACACGTCACTCAT